CATGTCCACACAGATGGAACTGTTTGCATCACATCCATTGGAGCCAGTCATTTGCTCCTATTGAGAAATAAGTATACAAAAATTACAATAATGCAAAACCAGGTTTGTTAACAAATCAAAAATGTTATGAAACATTGGCATTTGCTGCTTTATCAATAACATACCATACTGAGATACTGTATATTTTATTTGAATTCCACATTTCAACAACAGCTGAAAGTTAGGTTTGGAGTAACATATGCATCATGTTATTGAGGCGTTATTGTTGTGTAGCCTAGCTTCTAGGCATACAGTATATCAATAATAATCTTATTGTTACAGGAATTGGTGTTGGCTCTGATGATATACTGTAGTGTTATAGCACATCACCTTTATTTGGACAGTGCAGTTTTTAGACATATTAGGCCTAGGCCTAGGATATTATGAAAAAATATGCACTAGCACAATTAAAAGTTAAAAAAAAATTAAAAGTCGCCATGGCATGACAAGTCTAGGCTAGTAGTAGGAACCTACTAACTTTACCGTCAGCTGGACAAGGCTGCGTGCGAACTCACCTGCTGCGGGACTGGAGCAGTGTCCCGGTCAGGAGTGCGCTACTTAGCTGCTGGGTAGACACTGACTGCTTCCTGGGCATAGGCCTAATTATAAACAAACAAGTCATCGGACTGATATACGTTTATTAATTCAATTGAATTATTCCTCCATGATTGAATTGACGTTGACAAAACCGTCTCTCTGTAACTGCGTACGTAAACGATCACAAAAACTCACGACTTCACACTACTGGACGTACGTATTGTCTAGGCTAGTTGTTCGATCGTCGGGGCGATTTTTCGATCAGCTGCTCGCCAAAAATTACTGGTCTTGAATATTAATGAGTTGGTTAGAAAATGCTACCAAGCTACTGAAAAAAGTGATCAGCCTCGTTTTCACCTGATTTTCCTGTCTCATCATATCATGTTTTGTTTCTGTAATTATCGTTACATCTCAACATTTTGAATTTTTTAAGTATTTTTCCCGAACTCAGGAAAGGTTAAATAAGCAATATATGGCCACTTGTCTCATCCCCGCACCCCCCCTTTAAATATATTTTTTCATAGTATATTTAATGACAGTGAAGAAAAACAAGAATGAAATGACATAAACTGTTTTAGCAAGTATAAAATAGTGATAGATCTGTGATATAATAAAAATCCAGTCTACTGCCCTCTATGATCAAATTTTAAATTTCTTTAAATTGAACTTGCTCAATGGTATAGAAAGTAACTTTTTTGAAGAGATTTTTTTTAAAATAGAAGATAAAGAAATATAAATAAACATTGTAAAATCGTATTTTTTAACTGTTATTTTTTCAACTTTTTAGAGCTGCAGCAAGATGCAATAAAGGAATAGAAGTGTTAGTATCTGTGGCATATGAACATTTCATTTTGGTTATGGTGCGTGTGGTACGTGGACCTCAGCATGCTGATTTGAGTGTTGAAAAGGTCCAGCAGGTCATCCATTGCTTAATTTGTGGAGACCGCTGCTTTCTTCAGGGAAACCATACTGTAGAAAGTAGGCAAACTTTATAGTAAAAGATCTTGCTTCAGTTTTTATTGCATTTTTATGTTTGTTCATTTATTAACTTATTTATTTATTCTTTTATCTATAATTTTATCGTTGTTATTCCCTTTGCTCTCATTTCCTTGTTCTTCACTTTTTGCCATCTCTCCCTTTGCGATCTCATTTGTCATCACTGTCTTTATCATCACATACTTTGCCATAATTCTCTTTGTCATCATTTCTTATGTTATCACTCCCTTTGTCATTAATTTCTCTGTGATCACCCCATTTGTCATTATTTTGCTATCATTCTGCATTCACTCATATTGTCACTACACTCATTACCATCGCTCCCTTTGTTATCTCTTTCTTTATCATCGCTTACTTCTCCATCTTTTACTTTGCCATCGTTCATTTACCATCACTCCCTTCACCATCGCTTTCTTTATCATCACTTAATTCACGATCACTCACTTTGCCATCACTCCCTTTGCCATTGCTTTCTTTATCATCACTTACTTCACCATCACTCACGTTGGCATCACTCCATTTACCATCACTCCCTTCACCATTACTTTCTTTATCATCACTAAATTCACCATCACACACTTTGCCATCACTCCCTTTGCCATTGCTTTCTTTATCATCACTTACTTTACTATCACTCACGTTGGCATCACTCCATTTACCATACTCCCTTCACCATTACTTTCTTTATCATCACTAAATTCACCATCACACACTTTGCCATTACTCCCTTTGCCATTGCTTTCTTTATTATTACTTACTTCACCATCACTCATGTTGGCATCACTCCCTTCACCATTACTTTCTTCACCATCACACACTTTACCATTTACTCCCTTTGCCATTGCGTTCTTTATTATCACTTACTTTACCATTACTCACGTTGGTATCACTCCACTTAAAATCACTTCTTTATCATCAAATTTTCTTTATTCATAAATTCTTTATTCATTAATTCTGTCAATATAAAAACAATAACAATTGCAACAACAGATGCAATAATTAAATAAAAACACACCGATTGCCAGAACACCTTTTCCATTACTTAAACAATAACTTAACAACACAGAATGTTACTGTAATAATAATATCAGCCACAACAACTCATTACTGCCCATCATTATTTAATTTCATACATCAAACCAAAAAGTTCACTCATGCATGTATGGTATATTATATTTTATTTAAATATTTTTTTGGTATGCAATCCATATAATAGCAATTCTGTTGGACAATTTAACTTTCAGGTGACTATTACGGAAAGTTAAAATGCAATTGCAAGCAAACTTCACCTGGTAAAACTGCTGTGTTCCTTGGACCTGTCTGGTAAGAATAATTGAAACCTTTGCACCACTTAACTAATATGATTCTCTGATTTGCCCATATATTTCATATATTTAGATGTGGAATAATGGAAAATCAACTTTTAAGATAAACAATTAAATAAAATACAATTTGCTGTTTTAAATATATCCAATTACTTCAAGATTGTGTTTCAATGGATGTTATCTTTTGCTTTAGTGATACTGTATATTGGAAATATGAATGAAAATATTGCTATGATTTGTCTCCACTACAAAAGATTAACAAATTATTAATTTACAGTACTTGGCTATAATGATTTAATTTACAGAAATAGAGCAGTAATTGTAATAGTAGATAACATCCACTTTTTGCAAAATGGAGCTCAATCACTAAGTGCATAGAGGCATTTTCACATGATGCACTATACAAATCCAACTATTATTATTATTATTATTATTATTATTATTATTATTATTATCTAAGACATGATAAGGTAATATTAATTATAGTATAGTAGTAATAATTTCTGCGAAGCAGCCAATTCATATTCTTGACAGCAATTTGACGTCTGAAAGGTTATTGTTTGTCAAAAAACAAGGGCCTAAGACAACTGAAAAGCGGAGTTTCCTTCTTTCGTTCTGCCGGGTAAAATCAATTACTTTAGGCGACGTTTGTAGACTAACCAACATGTACCAACGTCCGCATGTCACGCTAGCCTTATCCTACTCTAGGCCTAGACTAGCTATGGTGGTATACTAGGCCTAGCCTTGAAGGGACGAAGGTCCCAATGAAAAAAAACGTCGCTCCTTGATAGCTAACATTGTCTATTTAACATCACAATAATTCATTATTAGACCTATAGTTGTTTTTTGAATTGTACTCCACAAATCTCAGCTGATACCTCGCACAACTCGAGTAACGTCTCGTATCTTGTCGTGGCTCACTGGCTCACACTAGTGATGTCTCGCACTTCTGATCAAATAACATGCTGGCTCGCACTTTGGCAACACTCTTTGGCAGTCAACTCGTCGCTAGAAAACCCGCCCTTGGAAACTTGCCCCATAAAAAAATGTACACTTCCTAGACCATGCAATCTTCAAAATGAAAATTGTAACCTTTGGTAATCAACTACATTTTCCACATCATACATAGATATTTTTGAAACTTTATTAAAAAAAACCTAAACCATAATTCACCACTATAGACACTTTTTGACAAAAATGAAAAATTACGACTTTGTTACCCAATGAGAAGTGTTCTAATACTGTATAGACAATGGGTCGTGTCTCATATTATTTGTTATATTTTTATTATTCATTATTTTCACTTGACTCGCATAAATAATTTTGTTCGAAGAACATTTATATTCAGTTATACTTCGCAGCACTTCACTTGCAATTTGCAATTTCTAGACGCAGGGTTCCCGGAACGCCACCCTTAGCGGCGAGTGCGAAGCACGAATCAGGGTCAAAAGTGAAACGTGAAATATGGATATGGTTTTGTAGTCAGATTTGCGAGAAAAACTTCAGCTACTCATATTTCCTGACTGAGACGTCAGTGGGAGCTGTAATTTGTATGGCAAGGAGATTGTGCAACCCTTAATTCGTATTAAGGGAATTTACGCCCAGAAACCTTGTAGTTATTAATATTTTGGTTATAATAAAAAATATTCATTTTTTGGTGACGTCACACTCACACTATAGTTAGCATGCATGTAAGCTAGATTACGTCACCTTTTCCTGGTAAGGCAAACTATCCCGACGTGCTTTTTTCATGGATAAACAAACACCACTGCTTTGCTCATGGATGCCTTGTCCTAGAATCAAGAGCCGCATTGTTAGCATTGTATAATACGTACAAGGTAGCTCTGCAACTGAATTATTCTTAGTTATTTGTTTTTGTTTTTTTTAATTTTTATTTTAATTTATTTCTTTCGGAAGTGTACTTTCTATTACATATTATTGCACTGTCTAGTTAAGCCTGGGCCTAGGCCTAGCCCTAGTCTTATTAGGTATGCCTCATCGTCATCCGCTACACTGTACATCAGTAGCGCCCCCCCCCCCCCATACAGTACAGACCTTTGCTGGGCAACAACTGATTCAACCTTCCTTCCCAAGTGATCATGTATTGGCATATTGTTAGCTAACCAGTTGTGTGTATTTCTTTGTGAAAATGAGTACCGCTGCGTACTCATTTTCACAAAGCATTTGCATCCCCTCTTGGAAAGAAGGAACTTCGAAATAATTGTCTCCATATCTTCGCTAATTAAATTAATCACCGTAATTTAGCTTATGAATTTAGCTACCCGACAAACTCCGAACTTTATTCATTTGGCCTACATAATAGTTTCATCTTGCTGTACTTATACTCCAACAGACCATTTCCGGTCACACATTACTCTCCATGACACACAGCACCCCCTAGTTCCGTCACCTCTGGTTATAATTATAGTAGCAATTGTAAGAATGATGATAAAAATAGTGATAGTAATTTAATAGTTTTAATGATAATAGAAGTAGTGATAGTAATAATGGTTAAAATGATGATAAAAATAATGATAACCTGATAATATAGAAGTTTTAATGATTAATATCAGTGTTATATTATATTTATAAAATATGAGGTTTTTTAAACAAATAAATTACCTAAGAAAACCACTAAGAAAATTTCATTACAAGAAGATCCCAAACAAACAAAAAAGTAAAATCCCATAGGTTATCCATATAATTAAACTAACAAAATATCTAAAAGTAACAACATATGTAAATTAATGTATTTGTCCTGATTATTTTTTTCAGGTCTGGAAGTATTTTCAAAGCTGGCTTCATAAAGAAAATGCTGCACTGTGCTGAACGATTAAAGCTAAGCCCTAAAATAATAGAGCTTTTAAAAACATTACATAGTGAAGCTGTATGCAGTGATATTGTAGACTATGAGATGCACAAACACAATTCATTATCTGAGACACATATTCAAAAAGTTTCTTCTACTTTAAAATCTGCACCTGCTGATGTCTCAGTAAATCCATCCACAGCGAATGAATTTGGAAAATCTCGGCAATGCACACATCAAGATGATTCAAATTGTAGCAAAGTGTTGACCTCTAAGAGAACCTGCGTGGACGTAAGTGCCCCAGCAAAGAGGGTTTGTAAAGACGACAGTCATGAAACGCAAGTTCCTTTCCCCAGCTTCTACTTTAACGTCCATTTACACACAGCCAAAGGGAAAGATGCACTAAAGTAAGTTTATATTGAATGATGGACGATAAATTAATGTTGATGAATATGTAGAGAAATGAATATTCATATAAGGGATGTTCTCGTAAGTTCATGAAAAGATAACACTTTGAACATGTTACTCATAAAAAACATGCATTTGCAAGCAATTATATTTATTTCAGCTAAAAAGAATCATTGATTCTTTTCGGCACATGTACACCCACTCACCACTGGTGAAGGCTGCTTACTGGCAGCTGTGCTTTACACTGTTAGCTATTTATTTTACATTTACGTTACTCAATCTCATAGAATGTTGATAAGTAGTAATTTAATACTTTAATAAAATATCTTAGGGTTATCCGGATTTGATCATAGAATAAAAGATAAATATTATACATGCCATATTGTATTTTAAGAAAGGAGTAAAATTATTGAAGGAAATGAATGGCAATGAATCCAGGAGTTCATATCAGTATTAGGTCAGGTTACAGTATCTAGAAAACAGTAGGTATTTAATTTGTTGAGAGTATTTTCAAAACCATCTACAATTTAGATGTCATTGTTTATAAAATATTATTTTCTCTGAATTTCTTAGAATGAAGAAAGTTATCCAGCTTCTAAAACAGAATGGCTTCCAAGCAAGTAGGACGCACTTTGACCCTGTTGCTGTGAGAACAAATGCTAGTTTACAGGAATTTCTTAAGATTCTCACAAGTAATAGCTTACCCACGAGTACTATTGACAATGTGTAACGGTTAGTAACAAAAATCAAACAAATTAATTTCATATCTGTTTTTATTTGATTTCTAGAAACTGTCATTTATTTGATATTCATTGATAGTTATCAATGAATATATTTATTTATATTAATGTTATTATGGTAATTTTAAGAGATATTTTTTTATATAATTATTTTTTAGTTTAAAAATTAGCAAAGGCTAATTTCGGGTATTAAATATTAAAAATAATACAGTACAATACATTTTTATTCATCCAAAAACTGTATTTTTTTATTCATCCAAAAGCTGTATGTAGTATATTACTTTATATCAATATTTAGAGTCTATTTGGCAACTGCTTCCAAAGCTCACTTTGTGTGCTACCTTCTTGTGTTGAGATTAAATAGCAATCTTGTTATAGTGCCCCCTAGAGAGGGTTACAGCAATGTTAACTAAGTACAATATGTTTTCAAAACATAAAATAACTAGTATGTTATTTATTAGCATGTTAACACAATAAATAATTATAATAATAATAATAGTGTAGTTTTATATAGCGCACATATCCATCTAATGTAAGATTCTCAGGGCGCTTGATGTGTGGTCTAGGAACTCGATCTGACTTTCTTCGCCCCTAAGGTTCGCTTCGTGTTTGTGCTACCCGGTACCAGCAACTCTCGTCATCCATTCAATTTACAGAACTGGGTGTAGAGGGACAACATGAGCTGACAGCCCAGTACATGTTGTTGGTGAGCCACCTGCCCAGAACATTTACTATACAATTTCCAAAAAATTAATCACAAAATAAAATAAACGTTAACATTAATTGTAAACCAGGTAATAGACGGATTAAACACATGAGCACAATCAACGACTCGCACACAAGCTACTCATAACAACTTTCAATCAAATTTGAAAATTAAACTTAACTTGTGTATTAAGATACTACACCTCCAATTTAAGTAGTTGGTTTCCTTTCCAACTCAGCCAAGCTGCTAAACATGATTTTCTCATTAGGACAATTTTTGTATGGTATTGCATAATTAATACACAATTGATAATTGATATATTGAAAAATACCTTCATATTATGTACAGTATACTCATCGTATTTTCAAAATATATAATTAGACTTTTAAATTTAAAGTGGCAGTATAGTGTTACATTATTGAAATATAATCAAATATTAGAAACAAGGAACAATGATGTAAATATGTATTTGATTATAAAAAAAAGATTATATTTTGCAATAACAGCACATGCAGCTTAAAAGACAAAAGCAGCTTAAGCTATCCTTAGTAATCTGGTTTTGAAAAATGTATGCATTCAAAGATTACCAGTATGTAAAGGTCAAAACATCCAGATAGTTGAACTAAATTGGATTACACAATGTCCGTCATACTTCAGTGTCAAGAAAACGAGAACAATAGTAATCTAAAATAAGTCATAGCTAAATGGTTCAGTGAAATCGGAGAAAAGTATACTTAATCTTCGAAAGTTATGTAGAAGTATACAGTTCAGATGGATTGACATTCTTTCTAAAATTATCGTCTAAAAGAATGAATACTGCGCATGTATGGAGTGCCCTTATACACCAAAGATGCTTATTCAACAAACAGAGATGGCATTAATAATGAGAAAAAAAGCATGACTTGCTTGTAAAATCTATTTTAAAAAGATGTAATAGAAATCCAATTAAAACAATTAATCAAATATGTTTTCCAACTTACAATAAATAAGTTCTGCTTGTATGTATGCCAACCATGTAAGTTCTTTTTGAAAAAAAACCATTTGACGTCATGGGTCAACATTTTTCAGAAATAATATGATTAACTGCTAATATTGATGATAAAATACACTTTAGGTATTCAGTATAGAGCATCAATATAATATAGCAATAAATAAACAAATTATTTATATCTTAGCAATGACACTAGAGCAGGTCAAGGAACTATAGGCTTGATAATGATCTTGTTATTTTTATTATTCATACAGCGACTTTCCAGTACACTCCATTCTTCAATACCAAATATATTGTTAACCGAAACTAACCTTCCTTTTCTCTTTAATTACAACTTGCCTAAAGCTTTTCTTAAGTTTTTTTTTACATTAAAGTATTAAAGAAATCCAGCCTTGATTACAATGTTCTTAGTAACTTCCGACCAATCTCCAACCTTAGCTTCCTTTCTAAAACTACAGTGAGAGTTGTTGCTGCACAGTTACTTTCTTTTCTAACTGAGCATGAACTACTAGATATTCATCAATCTGCTTATAGATCTCACCACAGTGTTGAGACTGCAATTGTTAAAGTTCTCAACGATCTCTTATGCAACATGAACGAAGGAAAAGTTTCTATTTTAATCCTTCTCGATCTCTCGGCTGCCTTTGATACTGTTGACTACCAAATCCTAACAACACACTTAAGCTCATCCTTTGGAATAACTGACAAAGCACTTAAATGGTTTCATTCATATCTAAGTGATCAAACCTCATTTGTCGGCATTAAATGTGACAATTCTTCTAGAGAAACCTTGAAGTTTGGGCTTCCCCAAGGATCTGTCCTGGGTCCTATTCTATTCTGCATGTATATCACACCTTTAGGCAAGATAATTAGAAAACATGGTTTCCAATACCATTGCTTTGCTGATGACATTAGGATATATTTTTCAGTCGACCCCTTACATTCGACTGTTAATGACACAATATCTAAAGTACAAGTATGTCTGGATGAAATCTGCATCTGGCTCTGCTCTAACCTGCTGAAATTAAACGAAAAGAAAACAAGAGTTCATGCTGATAGGTTCGAAACACAATTTATACAAAGCAGGAACTCACCACATCAAGATTGGTGAAACTCTAATCAAACCATCACCCACCTGCAGAAATCTTGGCATTCTTTTTGACAATACCCTTTCAATGGTTCAACATGTGAACGCAGTTTTTGGATCTGCTCGTTTTTCCCTTCATAACATCAGTCGCATCCGAAAGAATATAAATA